TTAAAAAAAAAAAAAAAGACTCCCTTTATGTTTATTACATGGTCAGTTTAATTTCATTTCTAACTGTTCTGGCTATAAATGACAATAATGTAGGTTTTGCATTTGATAAGTTAGATCAAGCCAGACCAAGTACTTAATGTTTTGTTTATAGTTTCCCTACTGTTGCTCATTTTAGTCTACTTAAGCAACTTGAGAAAAAAATGTATTAAATTTTCCCAAGTATGATTGTGGATGTTAATTTCTTCTTATAAATTGTCACTTTTTAATTTCTATTTTTTTAGGCTATGCTATTGGGTGAGTATAGGTTTAGTGAATTCTCCAGAGAATATTTCCTTTTTCAATTAGGTAATAATTTAATTGCATTGAGAATTCTAAATTGTTATCCCTCAGCATTTGGAGGACATTATTTTTCTGGCATCTGTTACTGCTGATGAGCTATGTACTATCAGTCTAACTCAATTCTCTGAGATAATCTGCCTTTTTTCTCTGCTTTAAGGAATTTTTTCGGGGGGTATTCTTCGGATTTGCTTTTATTTGTCTTCTTCGGAATTTGGTAACCTTCCTTATTCTGAAGACACATGCTTTCCTCAAATTCTGGAAAAACATTAGCCATTGTCTCTCTCCTTCTCTCTTTAAATTCAGCAATTCTCATTGGACACATACTGCCTATTTTATTCTCTAGTCCATACCTACTTTTTCATATTTTCCATTTCTTTATCTCTCTGTGCAACATTCCTCTACTTTCTTTTTACCTCTTCAATAGTTCGGCATTTTAATGATCCTATGCTATTTTATAATTTGTTTTAAATCTTCCTTTGATCCCTGTTTATTTTTTGTCACCGCAGAATTTTTGTTTTCAGTTCATTATGGTTTATTTCTTTATAGAGTTTGTAATTTTGGACAGAAAGCTCGTGTCCCTAACCCACTACCCAATGTAGGAGGGTAAGCCCTGAATTGTGTATATATATCCCTACAAAGGTATTTCAGGTTTGCTCGTACCAGAG